CGCTGAACTTTCTTAATCAGCAAGTGAAGAGCACAAGTCAGTTCAGAAGAATGAGCTGAGGTTTGCTTGGATGCAAGATTAAGCAGTTCCATCCATTCCGAATACCCATACCTGATCACCTCATCTCTCTTAACAACTTCAGTATAAGAGTGCTGAGGACCTTGACGAGTGATCAGCAATGTAAGAATTTTCTCGTTTCGAGGCTTAGAAGCTTTGACTTTGATGATCTTATCTCCACACATCCGCCAGTTGAGAACATCTTCAAATCTCTTTCGATCAATCCGGTCAAGAACACTGTCAGTCTTGGGCTTGCTAGAACTAGGAGGAGGTTGAGAAGACTGAGCCCTGGACTGAAATTCAAGAAACTTTTGCATTTGAGCTTCAAAAGATCCCTTGGCCTGAAGTTCGTGCTGAATGAGAGATTCATCAGCTTGAGCAATGTTCTTTAGAAGCTGAGCTTGATTTACTTCATCAAGAATTTGCTTAACTTGATCAGGGGACATGTTCCATTCAGTGGCAAGATTTGAAATACTGACGATGGACTTTGGTCTCTTCACAGTTGAAGAAGTATCAGTTTGAGAATGATCCAAGTCAGTATCTTCTACTTTCCGCTTTCGAGACAACGGATGAGATTCTTCACTGGCAATGTCCGAATCTTCTCCTTGGACCGGAATGATTGAATCAGCAATAGGATCGGCAAGTATCGGAATAGATTCTTCAAGATCATCTAAGCTTTCTTGCTGAACTGGAATGAGAGGATCAATAAAGTTCATGTCAAAAATTTGACATTCATCATCAGGTTCATCACGCTCTTCGTCATCATCACTATCTTCAAATAATTTCTCAGTGGCTGCTGGACTACTATGCCCCGCAGAATCAGATTGTGTTCATCATTATGCTCACTATCATCAGATAACCTTTCAGTAGCTGCTGGACTATCATGTCCCGCAGGATCAGCTTCTTCAACGGGGTTGAGTGAGTCATGCTGAAGAGTACCGATGTCACCAGTTGCTGTGTCTTTTTCATTTTGATCTTCATCATCATGAGCATTTTGATCGCTATCAGCATGATCATCAGCGTGATCATCAGTATCTCCCCTTTTTGAACATCATTGGATATGGGACGAGAAGCAGGAGTAAGTAAAAGAACCTCCTTGATTTGCTGAACATCAGCCTCAATATTAAGCAGACGCTGACTCATGTCCCGAGTCAGTGACATCAGTTCAGAGAATGCGGAAGCAGGAATTTGAATCATGGATGTTCCTGGAGCAACTGGAAAGCTGGATTGCATCCTTGGAGAGAAGTGGTGAGCTGCTGGGGATGAATGCTCCCCGGAGAGAGAGGCATCCCTTGAGAAGAATGCTCCCCCTGAGACTGATGATCCCCTTGAGATGGTTGCTCCCCTTGAGAAGAATGCTCCCCCTGAGACTGATGATCCCCCTGAGATGGTTGCTCCCCTTGAGACATGAGATCCTGTGGAGCTGAGGAGGCAGGACCAGTGACAGGGGTAAGGTGAGGAGAAGGTGGAGGAGAGGAATGGCCGCCATCATAACGATCCACTTCTTGATCAGCATGATCCACATGATCACCATCAGCACCTCCTTCATCAGTATCAGCTGAGAGAGAAGGCATAGTGTATGGATGAGCAATCCATTCTCTCATCCTATCTGAGATCCCAATGTCTGAATCCAAAGGATCATCCTGATACATGCGAACGGACATGCGAGGGCATTGGATTGGATTCCCAGAGTGAGAAAAATAATCAGCAGCGAAGAATTTGTCGAACACCAGGGCAATCCAGCGAGGAAAGGGAACATGATCAGCACGCACATTTGCACGTAAAAGTTGAACAAGCTGATCAAAGAATAGTGCCCCATAATCCAGTCTTTTGTTGAGAAGAAGAGACCAGACGACTTGTTGCTCATAATTACTCAATTGATCACCACTCCGAGACTTGTGGCCCACACACTTGCACAAGGCACCAGTGAAAAACTTCCATCCTGCGGTCATGCACTGACGCAAAATAAGGGCTGATCGAGTACCAGCCTTTGAATGATCATAGCCCAGTTGATCAAACATGCGTTTACATCTTTCAATAGTTGGGGTTCAGAAAAAGGTTCGAACAGAGGTAATCGTAAAGCAGCGCTGAGAAGCTCTGCAGTGATAAAGACGGAGTGTCTGCCATGGCCAATTGTTCCGGTGATGGCATTGTTTTCTTCATTAACTGTTGCAGTATAGTAAAACTCACATACTTGTTCAGGGAAGAACTCGGATGGTACGTCACTGATTGCGTATCGGAGGCGGCAAGAAGTCAAGAAATTGACGAAATCATCGAGTCCAAGACCTCGATGAACCTCTGGAATGTCAGGGTTGAATACGACATTGGTGGCCTTGATGTGAATTGGAAGTGGAGGAGAGTTTGGGGCAGGAGTGACTCTTCGAGATGTTGATGAGTAGGTGAACAGAGATGCCGCCATTGGAGAGTATTTGAGAAATCTAGGGTTTTGGGAGAAAGGTTTTGGGAGGAAAAATTAAACCAAGGGATAAAGTGAGTTAAGTATGGAATGAAGAGGGGTTTCCTTTTATGTGTTTTATTCGAAAAAGGTAATAATTATCTTTATGAAAAATAACGGCGCAGCGTAACAATCTGTCAGAATAGAAAATAGCCGTTGGAGAAAAGAGCCGTTGACTGAAGGTGTAGCGTCAATCAGAGGTTGCGGAAGCGCTGAGTTCATAGTCACAAAGGTTATGTGCTGAGAAATTCTCCATCAATTCAAGGTACAACTTGCATAAACTGGGCTAGCAAGCAGATTGGTGCGTGTGATAGATACTAGTTACATTATCTAACCATCGGCACAGATTGTTGTGAGTTCATCAGTAAGTGGTTTATCTTACTGAATCATTAGACACTGAATAAGAAGGGGGTAGAGAATGGATTGTTGCGTGTGATAGACCGTGGTGTTTTGGTCTAACATCGACAAAGATTGTAAACTCTCATCAGTGTGTGTTTGGCACACTGAATCACAGAATCATGTAAGATTGGTGAGAAGAGGTAGTTGCGTGTGATAAATCTTGGTATTTTGATCTAACCATCGGCAAAGATTTTAGACCCTCATCAGCGTGTGTTTTTGGCACGCTGAATCACAGAATCAGTGTAAGATTGGTGAGAAGAGGGTAGTTGCGTGTGATAAATCTTGGTATTTTGATTTAACCATCGGCAAAGAGTTTCAAGTCGTTATCAGTGTATGGTTTAATACAGTGAATCATTCAACTTTTGTTTAGAAGATTTGAAGAAGAGATCAAGATAAGAAATCAAACCAAGGTGCTCAGTATCAAATATCATCAGAACGTCATCATCAGCACAATGTACATCAGCTTATAAGACAATTGCAAACATTAGCACAATTAAATGTTAAATTTAATTATAAGGAAATCATTCCCAGTTCTCCGATAATATAAGCAGTTGATTGAGAATCCAGTGCCTTTGTGAAGATATCAGCTAGTTGCTCCGAAGTCTTGACATGTTCAAGAACAACTTTTCCTTTTTCAACATTATCTCTGATGAAATGATGTCGGATTTCAATATGCTTTGTCTTGGAGTGCTGAACAGGATTTTGTGTGATCTGAATGGCACTGGTGTTGTCACAATATATGGGAGTCTTTGAGAACTTGAATCCATAGTCGAGAAGCTGATTTTGAATCCATAAGAGCTGAGCACAACATCTTCCGGCGGCAACATACTCAGCTTCTGCAGTTGAGATGGCTACTGATGTTTGTTTCTTGCTGGACCAACTGATGAGACGATTTCCGAGGAAATGACATCCACCAGATGTACTCTTTTTGTCTAAATTGCATCCAGCATAATCTGAGTCAGTGTAACCATAAAGTTCAAATGCTGAGTCACGAGGATACCATAAAGCAAGGTTTTGAGTTCCCTTCAAGTATCGAAAGATACGTTTAACAGCCATGAGGTGAGATTCCTTTGGATTAGCTTGGAATCGAGCACAGAGAATGGTGCCAAACATAATATCAGGACGACTTGCTGTGAGATATAGGAGAGATCCAATCATTCCTCGATACAGAGAGTGATTGACATCAGTTCCAGCTGGATCAGCGTGTATCTTATCAGTCTTGGACACTGGAGTAGAGGCTGGTTTGCAGTCACTGAGAGAATATTTAACAAGCAGGTCAGATATATATTTACTTTGACAAATGGAAATACCTGTCTTTTGTTGCTGAACTTCAAGACCTAAGAAAAAGGTCATCTTCCCCATCATGCTCATTTCGAACCTTTGAGACATGATCTCTGCAAATTCCTTGCTTAGTGTCTCATTTGGAGAGCCGAAAATGATGTCGTCGACATAAATTTGAACAAGAACCATGTCTGATCCTTTGTTTTTGATGAAGAGAGTATTGTCGATTGCTCCTCGTCTATATCCATTCTCAAGCAGATATGATGTCAGCGTCTCATACCAGGCCCTGGGAGCTTGTTTCAGCCCATAGACCGCTTTGTCTAACCGATACACGTAATCAGGATGATCTTTGTCCACAAAGCCTGGGGGCTGATTTAGGAATACCTCTTCTTCTAACACACCATGTAGAAATGCTGTTTTCACATCCATCTGATAGACAATGAAGTTCATGTAAGATGCATATGCAAGAAACAGTCTGATAGCTTCAATGCGAGCAACTGGAGCAAAAGTTTCCCCGTAGTCGATGGATTCAATTTGAGTAAACCCTTGAGCTACAAGCCTTGCCTTGTTGCGAGTGATGATTCCATCTTTATCAACCTTGTTACGATAGACCCAACGAGTTCCAGTTATAGTTTTCCCGGATGGTCTTGGAACAAGAGTCCAAACTTTGTGCCTTTCAAACTCATTCAGTTCTTCTTGCATGGCTTTGATCCAATCAGCATCTTGAAGAGCTGCGTGTATTTTATCAGGTAAGATCATTGAAACAAAGTTAACATACATGCAAAAGTTATTAAGTGCACTAGATCTGGTTCGGACACCATCATGAATATTCCCTATAATTCGATCAACAGGATGATCTCGATGTTCAATAACTGATGCTGATTCAGGAGATATAGATGCTGACACATTATCAGTTTCAGGAGAATCTTCAGCTTCAAAGGTTTCATCAGCACTTAATGAATTGTCGAGTGGCTGCAATATCTTGAGTCAAGGAGCATGGAAATGGAATGATAGGATCAGAGGAATCAGTCTTATCTTCTGTAGAAGATACTTCATCGAAGGGACAAGAGAGAAGTTCTTGAAAGATAGAAGGAGAATGAGAGACCTTTTCATCAGTGTATGATTCCTCATCAAACTTAACATGAATGGATTCTTCAATGCATTGCCTATTCACATGAAAAACACGAAAAGCTTTCGAAATAGAAGAGTACCCAACAAAAATACCTTTATCAGCCTTAGGTTCGAATTTGGACCTTGGGTCACGCTGATTGAGAATGTAACAAATACATCCGAACACATGAAAAAAGGATACATCTGGTTTTCGACCTTTCAGCATTTCATATGGAGTCTTCTTGTGAACCCTGTGAATTAAAGATCGATTCTGAGTGAAACACGCTGTATTGACAGCTTCAGCCCAAAAGGACATAGGAAGACCAGCATGGATCATTAAGGTTCTTCCTGCCTCAATCAGTGTTCTATTCCTTCGTTCAGCAACACCATTTTGCTGAGGAGTACGAGGAGCTGAGAAGTTTTGCCCAATACCTTTGATGTCACAAAATTCTTCTAGAGTTGAGTTGCGGAACTCAGTGCCATGATCACTTCTTAGTTGCTTAACTTTAAGACCTGTCAGTGTCTCATTTTTACGAATTAGTGAGATGATCTCTTGTGTAGCATGATTTTTCTTCTTCAAGAAGGTTACCCAAGTAAATCGAGTGAACTCATCAACAACCACCAGAGTATACTTATTTCCAGCTAGAGAACGAACAGGAATAGGTCCGAACAGGTCCATGTGAAGTAGATAAAGAGGAACTGATATACTAGAGCACGACTTGGGTTTGAAAGAGGACTTGGTTTGTTTTCCTTGTTCACAAGCTGAGCACATCTTGTCCTTTATAATGCTGAATTTTGGGAGCCCTCTAACTAGGTCTTGATTGGATATCTTGGATAGATTCTTGAAATTCAGATGAGAAAACCTTTTGTGCCAAATCCAACTAAGATTCGTCTGAGACTTTGTAAAGAAACATTGCATCAGTGCCTTGTCACTCGAGAACATGTCAAGAACATAAATATCATCTTTTCTACTAGCTGAGAGAACGATGTTCTTGTCAGTGTTTACAACTCTTCCTTCCTTCTTTGTAAAATGAACTTCATAGTCAGCATCACATAACTGACTGATAGAAATGAGGTTGTGTTTGAGACCCTTTACGTATGAAACGTTTTGAAAAATCACGTTATTGCATTTGATGTTTCCATATCCTTTAGTGAATCCCTTTCCATTGTCTCCATAAGTAACTGCAGGACCAGTTTTCTTAACATAATCTTCCAGGAGAGACTTTGATCCCGTCATATGCCTTGAGCAACCACTATCTAAATACCAAAGATGCTCTTGACCCTGCAGTACTGAGAAACTAGTTAGAACACACTGACCCATTCAAAAATGGGTCATTCACAAAGTTATTCGATAATAAGTTATAGCACTCCTTAGGAAGACAGTTTAAAGAGTTAGACTTAAGAGACCATTTTTCATTCCTAATTTTAATATTCTCAGCTCTTGAGGATGATTTATCAAAAGAACATTCACTGATCTTGTGAGAGGAATTACCACATCTGTAACAAACTCTAGTACCAAAGTTCTTCTTGATGAGTAAATTTTTTGATTTAACACATTTTGACATGTAAGATTCATCAAGAGAGCTTTGAGTTCTTTTGTTTATTATTGAGTCACAACTGAATACAGTATCAGGAGAAGTTTGATCAGTGTTAGGAGTAACACTATCAGTATCTAATTTTGACTCATTCACAGATGGATTGCAATCAGGGCAGTGCTTGAGTTGTTCATGAACAGCATGAAACACTCCATTTGAGATAGGAAAAGCAATAATATTCTCAGTTAGAGGGATTGGTCTAACAAGATGTCCAGGATAAGAGGTAGGATCAATTCCGGTAATTTCAACATTGCACTCAGTTATACCATCAGAATTGGTAATGCAATATTTATCAATTAAGCTTTGATTAATAAAAGAGTTACTGACAAACTTATTTTTGAAATTATTTCTCATCTCATTCATGGAATAAACCTCAGATCCCTTTTCTTGTGTTTTAAAAACTTTTTCAGCTTCTGCAAAATTACCCCCAAGAATTTTCTCACAAGAATGAGGAATTTGAGCTGAAATGATATAATTAGCATTCTTATGGGATTTTGCCCAAGTGTGAAGCACAGTTTGTTCTTTGATCAAAAGATTTTTAACATCATCAATTTCAGCAGACAAAGATGAGTTTGACAA